TCTACCTGTCAGGCCAAATCACAGACTTCAAGCAATGTACCACAGTAAACAAGTTATCCCAGTCGGATTATACAATCACACGCATAACACTATGGTATATATGCCTAGGTTTTTTTCCCTATTTAATCAAGTAAACGATTCAACGTGGAAAGTAACAGAAAGAGAAGAAAATGAAAGAAATGATTTGACAAAAGCACACTTATTGGAACAAAGATATCAACACAACGAGAAATTAAATGAAATGAAATGAAAAAAAAAAAAAAAGGAAACGAAAGAAATCAACAAATAAGTCAATCTTGTTGAGTTCAGACTAGCAATTCAGGAACTCCGCTTCATACCTCCAGCCAAACAGAAGTGGTCTCGCTTCCAGTAAAGAGGTATTGACCTAAAAAAATGGTGTCTCCCTTTTTCACAGCCTGCAAAACAGATAGGCTTAGTTCAGCGGCTCAATTAGATGCTATAAAAAACATAAAGTGAAGTTATGCAACTATAGAGCTAAACATTTGCTGAGAAAATTTTCATTGAACGCTATGTAACCTGAAAAGTATAAATATTTGAAAACAAGAACTTTCAAAGTTCTGGTCAAAATTAGGCCTTGAGCTTTACTAGGAAATTTTCAAAGCCGAGGCACTAACATGTATCTCAATACAGACAAAAAATTGTAAATAAGTGGTACCAGAGAGAGTTTATGCAATTAATTAATAGAACTAATCTCAGTGAGGATGAAACATTTATAGTGAAGTAGATACAAGGCATGCTCTTTGACTTTTTCATTCTCAAGAAAGCAATAGAACTAATGAACTCAAGCCTTTGCAATTTACAAAATAAAGAAAACTGAAACAAGAAAAAATAAATAAGATTTATTAAGGTTAGGAGCATTATAAACCTTAGAGAGTCCAGCAAAGTTGATTGGCAAAACTTCAGAGGACGCTTCTTGGCCTTCATCTGGCGTCAGAATTACCTTGTCATCTGCCTCAAGAGTTATGTCATTCTCAGTCTTATTAACAACCTGTAACTCGGGACCCACAGAATCTAGCATAACCTGAAATAAGTTGAAAATCAACATACATAAGTTCAGTCAAAAAATAAACTGCCATCGTGTTCTCGTCTGTTTATGGCAAAAAAAAAAAAAATCTGTAGTTCAATTTTAGAATTATCATCACAAGAACCATCAAATTATTCTTCTTTGGGACATCAAATATACATACAGAACAGAGCTTCTTGGTGCTATTGATAGCAGCCTTCAAATTCTCCAGGGTTTCCTGATGATACTCCGCATCATGCCACGAAAAATCAAATCTAGCCACTGCCCACAAAAAAATAAGCATTATCCCTAGACAAAAACAAATAAAATTGAAGAAAACATTCGATTTAAACTACCAGACATTCCAGCTCTAAGACAACCGGAGATAACCTCGACCGATCGAGAACACGGGCCCAATGTCCCTACGATCTTCGTCATTGCCGGAAAGAAACTCTGTACACGCACACTTGATTACTCCTCAAAATCCAAATCATTAATGCATGAGTGGATCTGTATGTAATCTTGAAAAATTGTCCCCAAAAAAATACTTACAGCTCTTGATGGCTCGAGAATGGAAGCCATCCTAATTGGCTCTTCGAGTAGCAAGTGATTCGAATGCATTTTGCTGGATTTTATCTTTCTACAAAACTCAGAGAAGATTCGTGTTATGTAGAGAGTTATAACTAATGTGGTTTCTTCTTTGTTTTGTCTTGGACTTTGAACAGAGAAAAACAAAAGGAGGTTGAGAGAAGTATCGTATTCGTAAAGCAAACGGCCTCTATTTTTTTATTTTATTTATTTTAAAAGATTTGGTGGGAATATATGCTGCGCTAGATTTTATTCATGTTTTGTAGTGATTCTTTGAAAATAAATTATATAAAAATGTTTTTTTTAGGGAATATATAGTTAAAAACTATAAAAATAAAATAAATTGAATTTACGTATAAGATTATTTTATTGAAAAAATATATAGTTAATAATAAATTTGGATTCAAATAAGTTTTAGAAATTTGGTATTGAAAATGGATTATTTTAATTTTCTATCCTAAACTAACATGTTGATTTTTTTGATACTTACGGTGACACAAATGAAATGTTTCGTATTGTGATTGTGATTTTTCCTTAAGGAAATTTAGAAATATACCATTATAAGTTTAACAGACTAAATTACCCTTATTTGTAAAATTATAAATGACACGCTAATATATAACATTTGGTAACAATACATTACTTTTTGACGGGCATGTTTGATAGTGATTACGATAATTGATTTTTTGATCGTTAGAAAAAAAAGTGGATCCCATTTGTGGGTGAATAAGTAAAAAAATAAAAGCTAAAATAATGAAATAACGATCTAAAAATTGATTTTTTTGAGTGAAAATTGCTATCAAATGACAGCTTTAATATTCTTGAAATTTAATAACCTAAATCCGCGCTAATTGATTATACCGTCTGTTTCATCCTCAAAAATGGGAGCTCTATTATGGGACAAATAAAATATGGAAGTTATTTATTATAAACAAATTGTTAGTTTGATTTTTTAACTGGAAATCTCTTGGATGGTGATGAACAATATTAAGAACTCGAAGTGTTGGGAACATGCTTAATCATGCGTAGCTGAAATTTTTTTTTTTTTTAATTCTTATCAAGGATTTGCTTTGTGTTTAGATTAAAAAAAAACGTAATAGAGATTGTACCTTTTACGAGATATGCAAACTCTTTTGCTATTTTTTCATTCCAATGATCTTGACTCGTCATCCACAGCTGTCCAATTATCCAGCGTTCAATGAAAATTCACACAGAGAACAAGATTTTAGGAACTAGGGTTTTATCATCTTGTGCTAGCAAAAATGAAAAATCTCTACATATTGAAAACTCTAGTCACTTATCTATATAAGCTCAAACGGGTTTGGTCTGACCTGATCCATTATTTAATTAATTCATTTAATTAAATTCGATCTGTGTATTAATTAATCTAATTAATTAATTTAGGCTTATAAATAAACAACCCAATTAATTAATTTATCCACCGCTTGTTAAATTAATTAATTGACAAATCATAATCTTCCAGTTCTCCTTTTGTATGCGACCTATTAAGTTCTCAATCACGATACCTAATGATGTGAATTATTATTTTGATCTACTCGAAATCAATAAATTAAAAAACTCTTTTAATTTATCACCAATTCACGTTCGCCGTTCCAAATTGACATCTAATAATGTGTCAGAGCAATACATGTGACGGAAAAATGTCACGTGATATGACAAAATCAAACTCGTTCATTTACCGTGAAATTATAATCCCTTCATCAACATGATGTGATTAATTATGCGATATGAAAGTGTGTTAATCCCAATTATTGGTCATATCTTTCATTCTATTATTGAATCTATATAAATCAAAAACTCCTTTTCGACTTCTGAGTACACCTTGGCCAAGGATTTCGTTGTCGACTTAATTGAATGAAATGCAGATTATAATATCTTACTATCTAAGAGTAACGAATCATCTATTAGTCATTCACAACCTTCATATAATTCTTGACATGTCCAAACGATGCCGTATTAGCAACTTTTGGCAGAGCAACGTCTAACACCGTCAAAGTATGACTGTCCTTCTATAAGGTACCATGATGACCTAAAGTCAAATGACCAATTCCACTACCAAACGTCGGAGATTAACCACTGACACTCAGATAATTATTCACGTGAAATCTCTCAACGGGTCTCCAATGTTTCGTTTTATAACAAAACATCTACATGTTCATTCAAGTGTCACCACACTTTAGCTTGTAAAATCAGCTACTTACTTCACAAGTAAGAAATGTCACATGTGATGGTCTATCCGTAATAACAATATCCGTATCTCATCATTACTTATGACCACAAATAATTTAAAATTCAATCATATGTAATTTATATTTCACAATCACAACTTTTTGTAATTTACAAATTACTAATATTTGAATACATGGACTCCATTATTTAATCCAATTGAATATTAATTAATAGGTCTGCAATAAATCGCATCAACCATTTATTAAAAGTGTTTATGTCTAAAGTCGATTGGACTTGAGGCATAACACTTACACGTAAATTGTTAGATTCTGAGAATTCTTGCGATACTAAACAACGATCTTGAAGTAAAGTTTATTATGCACAACAATCAAAGTGCTAAATGGAGAAACAATTCAAGATTTATTTATATTTTACTATCTTGAGCAAGGAAAGAGGAAACTATAAGCCTTACCTGGCAAGCTTTTTAATCTGTACACATCCTTCATTGGATTAGTCTATTTCATTAAGTTCTCCATGTTCGCATTGTGATTGTGAAACTCATATCGACATCAATAAGCTCAAAAACTTTTTATCGTGTGGCATTTTTAGCGTCATTGGGCACCCAAAACTCCTTCAACGAAGAAACTTTGTGTAACACCGACTGCAGACTATGAAAAAGGTTTTTGCTAAAATTAATCAACTTCTATGTCCCATTGCATTGTCATAGGAATGTACTCCTTCATTTTCAGTCTTTTGATAACATTTACGTTGTTTCCTTGAGGTCCAAATGGAGTTGGTCTTGACAGCAACGAATCTTTAAAAGTTCGTACATATGCTCGATTACTCCCGACAAGCCACCTTGAACCTTTCAATATTTTTTCATGCCCTCATGACAAGCTTTTCTATAGAAAAGAGGATATACTTTTACCCATGGCTGTGAAAATATCACTTGTATTGAAATATTTTCCTTTCAATAAGCCGCTAGCAGAGAGTTCGAATGGTTTAGTCGCTGCACCAAACAAGTGTTTATCTACATCGATAAACATGATTGAGCATTCTTTTGACGATGAACTATACAATAACAGGTTGTTGTAGGAAAAAATAAATAGAAGTCTCAATCGTAACTTCAGGACGGAACTTGCAAATTAGAAACGGAAACTTTTTCGTAACGTAAAAAAAAATGGGCCCCCTCACGTGACCGCGCAACACGTGCTTACCTAACGGACTCGTCACACACTAAACGCCTCTCACTCAGTCCCCACAAAATTACCCCCAAACGCCTTCTCTCACGTCCGTCTGTTCTCCTCCGTTTCCGTCAACACTAACCGTAACGCCGTCCATGGCCTCTTGTGACGACGATTTTTCCCTTCTCGACGATCACCAAAATCCTGATGCTACCCAACCTTCCACCAACACCCAAACGCCGCAGTTTACCGTCAATCCGTACGATCAAGACTCAGATCCGTTCGATTCCGAACCTGATCCGAGTTCCCGATCCTGTAAACGTGCAAGCGAGCGTGACGATGTCAATAACGACGTATCGAAAAGGACTAGACTTCCGTCCGCCTCCTCTTCCGCCGGTGATTACAGGAAGGACAGAGAAGAATGGAGTGAAACGGCCATCGCGTGTTTGTTGGAAGCGTATACTGACAAGTTTATGCAGTTGAATAGGGGAAATTTGAGGGGAAAGGACTGGGAGGAGGTGGCGGCGACGGTTGGCGAGAGATGTGATAAGCAGAGCAAAAGCGTTGAGCAGTGCAAGAACAAGGTGGATAATTTGAAGAAGCGATACAAATTGGAGAGGCATCGGTTGAGCAACGGTGGGGTCTCGGTGAGTCACTGGCCTTGGTTCCAGCAGATGGAGCATATTGTTGGGAACAGTATGGCTGCCAAGGCTGCAGCGGATGAGGAAAAAAACTCCGTCAGCGGTGGATCCTCCATATCTACTAGGCATCCAAAGAGGTATATATGAAAATTAGAGCTGATCAATTGGAATTGCGTGTTAATCTGCACTGCCAATTTCATTTTCTTTACAATCTATCTACCTGTTGTTGGTTTGAGAAATTGCTATTTTATGATGTTAAAGCTGACGAGGGAACTGCAGCAGATCTTTCGGCTTGAATCGAATATCTGTGGTAAAATTCGACGAAAATTGAGGCTCTGTTTTCACGTTGCTGAAACGACAGAAACTAGTTACAAAGACAACTTATTTGTTGAAGGTTTCAGTAGGCTATATGTTATGTATGTTTGGGAATTCAATTAAGTTCTATATGTTAGACATTTTTACAGAACAAATCTTTAACCCAATGACGTCGACAAAGCTGATCTAAAAAGGGTAACTGACTGTTCAGTGACTTAACATGAAACTTTGCTGTAAATTGAGTGATTGACAGTGCTTCTAACCCATTTAGCTTATAATATTTGGATCTTAGTTGTTTAGTCTTTGTTGTATAGTCTATACTTCTTGAGTTTGGCATTTATGATATCAGCTGCCATGTATATATTGGTCGATTTTCTGATCAATTTTATGACTTCTTCTTTTCTATATTGATCTAAAATATTCTGTGTGGGCAGACATGCAACAGCAACTGCAACTGCAAGTCCCGGCAGCCAGATTGTGAACGTGAAATTGAAACCATCAACTAATCTTAGGTGGCGAAGAGTAGTTTTCAAAATTAGTGGTGCTGCTCTAGCTGGTACTGCTCCAAACAATATAGATCCAAAGGTTTAATGCTAACTCTGTTTTCTTTTTCTTACTCTTCTGTTTTGTTTCCCCTGATAATTGGATCCAATTTGCAAGCTACCTGATGAATCTAGGCATCATGAAATTTGTTAACACACTAAACTTTGATTTTGAGTTTTGGTGAAGTCATCTTGTTATGTCATGAATAGATAGTAATCTTTCTACATCTGAAGGGCGACATGATGATAGGTGACTCATTTAGAAAACCGTCCATGCCTCCAAGGTACCCTTTTGCTAATAGAAAGATGAGATAGTTACGCTGACATTTCCTGAACTATCTGGCTGTTTTCATCAGAGAATAACGAATATGAATTTCTCATTTTTTTTTTTTTCATTTCTTTATCTATATTTAAACCATCTTTTTAAATATTTTTCTCAAGACTTTTTTCTTCTTTCATATCAAAGAGCATTGCTTTTAGCTTGAAGAAAGCTATTTTTTCCTACTTTTCTCAACGTGATTACATTTCAATATTATTGTTTTTCTAAAATCTATTATTTTCTTTCTATTTTAAGAAAAATGAACAAGACATATCCTTATTTTTGTTGCATATGAATATCGTTTGATGTATTATATATTTAGACTACTGCAATATTGTGAATATGAAGATATATTTTGAGCGTTGGTCAAATTATTACAACTGATTTCTATCATCTTCCCTTTTTTTCACTCAAATTATTTGCTTTGAATCTTTTAAATTTATTTTAAACATTAACAAATTCTAAATATTTGAAAAGAAATACAATGATACGAAGTTTAAAATGGATAGTTATTATATGAGCAAACTCAAAATATATCTACAAAGTTACACTATTACTGCGTTCATAAGTATGCTGCAAAACGAGTGGTTATCATTTTCCATCTCTAATCTGCAGTAGTTTCCCTCTAATCAGAGACATAATGTACTTCCACATTGCGTTGCTCACTCTGCAGTTTAGCATATTTCTTAATAATGAGCAATTCCTCAAGTTTGATTAGTTTTAGTTTTAATTTTAATTTTAATTTTAATTGTAGGTAGCCATGCTGGTTGCAAGAGAAATTTCGATAGCTTGTCGTTATGGTGTTGAGGTATTAGTTAACTTGCTTCTCATTTGCAAGTTGGGATTTTAATTTCTTTGAATTTTATCAACTGTTGATATCTTCAATTTTTAGGTTGCCATAGTTGTAGGTGGCCGTAATTTCTTTTGTGGAGACGCATGGGTTACATCCACTGGGTTGGATAGGTGTACTGCATATCAAATTGGGTATGTTTCTCGACTTGAAGTTATACATCATTATATATTATAACTCGAATTTAGTTATTTCTTTATCTTATTATATTATGAAAAATGAATTGTAGTTTATATTTATTTACAGACACCTATGCAATTAGAATTTACCTTGCAATCTGAAGTCTACTTCACTTGATAAACCACAAGCATATGATTTTTGGTGTTTGTAATTGTCAGAACGTTGAGTTTTGGGATCTGACGCCGGCACTACTACGAACTCTTTTTGGAAAGAAATTATAGATGAAAATTTAACAAGTTCATAGTATGCTCACCTTCCTGATCCCGTTGTATGGTGGACAAATTTTAGGAACTTAGTTTGGAAGCTACCCATATCCATCTACAGAATCTTTCAATTAGGAATTTGGTTAGTTTCGAAAGAATAAGACAAGAATAGTTGGGGACATGTTGATTCTAATTATTTTAAATTCATATATTATATTTTTGTTTATATGATTTTTATTATAGGACCACATGACACGTCAATTCTTGCCTGAGGGGTGTTTCTAAAGTATCCCTCGAGTATATGTAATTTAAAAGATATATAAAAAATTGGTCAAGAGCATGTAGCTTTTTGGATACATATTGAGTGTTTGAGCGTCGGGGTCCAATACATATCGAACACAAACATACTGTTCTCTAAGCTTTCCAAGCGCTCTAGTATAATTTGAACTACACGATCCTCTTGCATTACAATTCTCCTACGTTTTCCATATCTGATATCATGCTTGAATATAGAAGGATAGTTGAGACAGGTTGTCAACCATTGCAAAATTTTATAACTTATTATGACGTGAATCTTCTATGCATTTCGTTGGTTTATCATTTACCAATTACACTTTGCATTGGATCGCAACTTGCAGTGAAATTCAGCAAGGGTTATCTAGTGTGTGCCATGTAAGAGATGTACTACTTTGACCTTAGATTGTTTGGGAATAAGGGTTAGTTTGCTGTGCCTTGTGGCTTGTGCAGCTCAACTTTAGAGAATTACAATGGTATTCTAATGTAGATGCATCTTTAACCGACTACCAATTTGTTCCACCGTGATGTTTTACTTAAAAAATATAATTTAGACTTTTTACTTCCTTCTCTCTCCTTTTCCTAATAGGAACCTTTGGTCACCAAAGCGTTTCTGAGTCGGTCTGGTTATCAAATGATAGAAAGCATTTTTGTTGATACTTGAGTTGGTAAAATACAAAATTAATTTGGACATTTTATACTATGCAGCCTTTTGTTAAAGTGGATAAATTAATACATCACTAAATCAAAAAGGGAAGTGCGTGTCATTGTGGTTAATCTGTTCTCATTCACGAGCTTGTTGACAATGATGATATTCTTATTTTAACCAGAATGATGGCAACGGTGATGAACTCCATTCTGCTGCAGTCGGCTTTGGAGAAATTGGGTGTGAAGACACGCATGCAAAGTGCATTCTCTATGCCAGAGGTTGCTGAACCGTATAGCAGACAACGAGCCATCCGGCATCTTGAAAAAGGAAGAGTTGTAATATTTGGTGGTATTGGAGCTGGGACGGGAAATCCACTCTTTTCTACTGATACAGCTGCAGCTCTTAGAGCATCAGAAAGTATAGCATTGATTTACAATTTAAAAACCTTCTTGATTTCTTACCTGTTCTGATAGAAATTTCAAATCTTGATTCATTCAGTTCATGCGGATGCCGTCTTGAAAGGAGCAAACACGGATGGTGTTTTTGTTTGCGATCCTAGAAGTAACAATATTGCAGCAGAGCACATTTCCTTCCGGGACTTGGCTTCTAGAGGTGCGTCTCCAATGGACATGATGGCTATGACATACTGCGAGGAGAATGGGATTCCAGGTCTGTAACTCATTTCGTGCTTCCAATCCAAACCAACCCACCCACGTGTGCACACAAGATAACGATCATTTTTTCTTTCTTTCATTCTTTTATTTTCTTATGCATCTTGTACCTGTCTCCGGCATTCTCATCCGTGCTTTAATGAGAACTGTTAAATCCTGCTTAGTTTCTTATTGGACTTGCTATACTTTATCTCTATCAAGATCATTCTTTTCTGGCAGTTGTTATTTTCGATCTTCATGAGCTGGGAAATATATCAAGGGCATTATGTGGAGAACCTGTCGGTACGCTGATTGATCAAACAGGACCTATTGGTTAGGGGACTTCATTACTTGGCTTAAAGATTCATATGGCATTTGAACCTGTGATTTCTTGGAAAGTATGTTCCTATTAGCATCCATCTAACATAGTGGAGTTCAAATCGACTGCTCTTCGATGAAGCTGTTTGTAGAATATGTGTACATGGTAAAATTGTTTGTAAATTTATGAGGTAACTGCTGATGATCTTATGCTAGATATAGAGGGAAACCTCTCGATAATATCTTCTGGCGTCTTCAAATTGGTTCGTGTCTTGGAAAGGTGAGTGGAACCATTACAATTTACAACATGCCGAAATCTTGAACTTGTGAAGTAAAGGAATTCCAATAATATTCCTTGGGAGATCTGACAACCCAATTTTAGCATCAGTGCTTTTTTGCTTTTGTACTGACATTATTCTAATTTTTCCTTTTGTAAATCATAATTGAGCCCAGAAAATTCTCAACTGCAAGAGATTTTATTTATTATTTTTTCCTTTACTAGTAACTGAACGTTGTGCTAGTACAACCTTTCATGAAAACTGAAATTCGGAACAGGTCTAATAGTGTGTTAAGGAGAAATTTGACAGCCATATGAAGTACAATTCATACTGATATGGAAAAGAATAATTCATGTTTCTGTCTCTAGGAAAGTGACGAGGTCTGGTTCTAAAAGTATATAATTACATGCAAATAAAAGTCTCCATGAACTTGAAAGAGACCATGAGCGTTCTTTATCAAGCATTCAACAGATAATTGAGATAATACTAGTGTTGGCACAGCATATCAACAAGGTGATAATTTGTCCATGGAGAAGTTACTCTTTTGAGCATCTTCAGAAGCTCCTCAAAATCTAGGAATTGCACCCCAGAACATGCCATCTTCTCGAGCATTCAAAAGAAACTCGATAAAACAGCACACCATATCACCAGGGCCAGTGTCATTACAGAGAAGTTACTCAAAATATCTTCAGAAGCATCTCAATATCTAGGAACCAAATCAGGGGATATGCTAGGACTTGTGCAATCTCTTATGGAAGAGGGAAACTCTACATTGTTAAGCGCGCACTTTGCCCATTTCTGTGACCAAAATCGCTTTGACTTATTTGACTAGACGGGGAAGGTATGTCGTTTTGAAGCAATTAGATAGTCATAGATTCAATCTTTTGGACAAACTGACATTATACTGATTTTTAACATTCCCCTGCAGCTGTCGTGCCTGACGTCCTGTTACGGAAACACGGTGCTGGTCAAGCAGATAGGGGAGGGGTGAATTTTTGAAGAAAAGTTTTCAAAATATTATTATCAATCAAGTCTTCTCCACGATAAGTTGGGAGAAGTAGAAAGACAATCCCAAATCTCAAAGATGGCCAAAGGCTCTTGTCCAAGATAGCTGATTGAAAATAACATAATTACCCCATGCCATGAATTCCATTGACAAGTTGATCGGTGAGCAGGAAGATAAAATGATCAACTGTGCTATCATAAGTTCCGAAATGAGCAAAATACACAGGCTTTAAACCACAAACACAAAGCATAAAGAAATGTCTTCTATAATAGTCATGACAGAAAAGAGACGTGGTTATCCCATAAACCAATACCAGAGTGATCTCTCTCCCATGTCGAGGTTGCGGGGTAAAAAGGATACTGACAGTATCTGGATGAATTTGTTAAGCACATTGTGAGCTATTAGAATGACTGCACAAAGGTTTGTAAGCATTTAAATTAATACTATACTATAAGCTTATCATTGACTGCACAAAATTTGGATACAGAATATATATCATGCTCATTAAAATACTCAAGTTTGGTGGCAGTTAAAAATATATGACAAGATCTTCTTGTTGCACTTTATTCTTCGCCATTCTTTCCCCTAAACCCCTCAACTCATTAAAACACGCGCAGAGATCACTTCAGATAGACTGTCTGTGAGATGTATGGTGTTATATAAAATAATGGTGAAATATGCGAAGCTAGTACTTATTCTAATAAATAATACTGTTGACAGTTGAATTTGAAGATAGGAGATGGACATATATTCTAAACGCATATTTAATTTTTATCTTGTATACACTAGCATGAGAAACGACAAAATAGATATTTCTTTTTAAAGAAAGTGACATTCCAATTGGAACCATCCAGATAGAAGTCTTTACCCTCCGGCAATTTACTTAGTTCCTACATATCTGCGCCACATAAGAATGAGACGAAAACTGTGTTAAAATAATAATAATAGTTAGGGTTCCATCCTACTTGGATAATTTCAAGTCACTAATATATCTCATTAACATCAATCAGCACAATGGTCATCATATCTCAGGTAATCCGTAATCTTAAAAGCAGTTACCAGGAATTCTATCACTTACCATCCTCTTATCCCTTGTGCATGGATGATGCCATCCCCACCTTTCTATGAGCAAGTTGTACCTGTAAATCTTCCAGAATGCTTCTCTTCCTCAAGAATGCCAAAATCATCAATAGCTGAAAAAAAAGAAGCAACAATATTAAATTCAGGAGTCTAGTCTTCAAATATATTGGAGTGTGCTTTAATGATCAAACTGACAAACAAAATGTTTATATGCGATGGAGATGTAAAAAACAAGCATAAAGAACTCATGAAAAAGCAATATTTGAGAATGGTGCACTGAATTATCAAAGAAATAACTAACTGGATCCTGCAAGGCGTTGATGGATCAATTCAGCCAAAATAGAAAGTCATTGTGCATCTGACATTTGTTAAGACATCTACCAAAATGGAAATTATGGCCATACCACATTTTCGGTCTCCCAAGAAGTTCATAATGAAAGGTGGAGTTTGCAACAGCTAACAGTGAATTCCTAGGTTCGTGCTCTACGACAGAAATAAAAGGTGTAGCAAATCAGAGAGAGGGATTTAAAACTCATTATAGGACAGAAAATAAGAACATACAACAGGAGAATCAACCAAAACTTCGAGAGCATCAATCTAATCAACAGAAGAATTGCCGGTTGAGACCAATTTTGAAAAGATTTTTTGGACATTCTGCCATTTAGATCAATGCAATATGAAGGGAGAATAAAAGGGTGCATATGTAACTAATTATGAGAAGTAAAATATTACATGAAATAGAAACATTATCTACAAAAGTGGAACACTGCCGAGGCTGATCCCTGCAAAACAAGGGAATTAAAAGAATAACGAAATTGCTCATGTTCCAGATGATTATAATTCATAATAAAGCAGTTTCTGAGACACAATACATTAGCTTGGAAATGAGAAAGGCTTACACCATTCCTAGCAGCAGCCATAACGAGATTTGGACACAATTCACTTTCCAATAGTATGATTACATTTGGCTTCCAATAACCAAGGAAAGCAACCATGGCGGTACGCATGTCAAGTGGAGCAAACTGGTTCACGCTGGTGTTTGTGTTAGGGCAAGAAAATTTACAGTTTTATCTATGTACAAGGAAATAAAGTTTCAAAACTTAGACAAATGATAAATTCCAATAAAAAACTTGAGCTTAAATGTGCTGAATCCTGACATATACATAACATTTTCTTATTCAATACGAACATCCGTACATGTGCATTTGTATAAAGTAACCTACACAAGCAAAATAGTTCTTCCCTCCCAACTGTGTTACAACTCACAATCGGAATTCTCTCTAGCTAATTCATTTCTCAGCTTGATCTAATTAAGCATCATGCTCATGAGAGTATCTTTAGATCTTTAAACGTTCTAACCCTAAAAGGTACAAAAAGACCAAAATTATACATGAAAACACTTGAGAATCAATTTATTTTGACAATTCAATAAATGTATGAATAAAAGTGTGAATACTCTATCCACCACCAGGGAAAAAGATTAAACCCACAATCTTACAATTTTGCTACACAAACACCAATTATAGCTCCATAGCAGTAACATAGAGGTAGGATAAGAATTTGTTACACATGGAAGGGTAATAGGTCTGCTTGTCCGAAGTTTCTTTTGCACTTACAATGTCACACAATATATCATTTAAAAAATAAAAAAAAGGGTTTTACCCTCGTGATTAGCTCTAATTATTTTACCTTTTGACAACTGTTGCTGTAGTTACCAATCTTGTTAATGAGAACACTTGAAACATTGAATGGAATTGATGCATATATGTGTGAGATAGGGGGTGGGGGTGAGAGGAGAATTGCACTTCATATAAGTGGTAAAATACAAGAGAGTGCAGTATTGGCCACAAGTGAGTAAACGCTAGACGACACATTCAATTAAAAATATGTCAATAATGATTAACATATAAATGTTAACATTAACTAAAATTTTGTAGAACTTACAAATTTTAAGAACTAGATATATTTACACAACAGAGGACATGTTAGTCAAATAAAAGTATTATCTACAATTATTAATGGAAAAGCTCAAGTGTATATGTTAACATTAACTAAAATTTTGAAAAACTTAGGAGTATTAAGAAACTGATATCTGACATCAATCAGAAGCAGGTTCTTCATCACTTCACTACAGAAATAAATGAAAAACCCAAGTACATAAAATAGAATAGACTTGGAAAACAGACATAAATTTCAATTCCATCAGCATCAACAAAGAATAGAAAAATACAGAAACAAAAGTCAATAATTGTCATTTCTTTACACGAAAGATAATAAATTGGCATTAAATTAACACGGAAACCAATTTCTGCTAGTTCTCTCAACATATACAACTCTACAAACAGTATTGAGTGAGACCCATCCTAACTTAGTAACCTTAGAAAACAAGACGGTTCTAACGTGAAGCCTCAGATCTGGCTTTTAATCCTTTACTTGTTCAAATCTTGTCCATGTCACACCCAAATGCCTAGCCAATAAATCCCAGAAACCATTCTTTTTCTATGCCAGCCTTTGTGGAGATCTAGAAACTATGGAAGATATTTTCCAGAGGAATCTATCATTATCATCTACGGAGATTGCTCAACTTTCTTGAAATGTCCTTGGGGGAGAGCAAGAGAGGGCCTAAAAGCAAATGCATGAAAGATAAAATTCTCAGCTCATAAATTCTTGCAATAAAATATTTTTTTGTTGATTATTGTCAACTCACTCCACCTAGATTCCTCGAAGCTTCCATCTTTTTTTTGCCACTGGCAATGAACAAAAAGGTATTGCTGCAAATTACTCATACAGAAAGGCATACCACCTTGTGTAATATCACTTAATCCCGTGTTCACAGGTTTTACATCCATATCAAGAGGTACTGTTAACGAGCCAAAAAATGTTCATACAGGAGAGCTACTCTGTAATCCTAGATCCTTCTAGAGGCACAAGGACCTATAATTACTGGAATAATACTATTATGTATTGTATAATATCAAGAGTTAATTTATTCACCGAAATATCCTCCTCTTTTTCTCGTATCAGATAGGAAAATGACACATATAACAATATTCAGAAACCAGGAGACAAGAAATTCCAAGGATGAATGAAGGGACAGCTGACAAACATCAAAATGCAAACCTAATTAACATCCAGTGTTAAAAGGGACTTTTGCATTGCATGCTAAAGGGCTATACATTTCTTAGAAGAAGCCAGTGCATCTTTGTAAATGCTAAGAAAACTACAGTGTTCTTGACCGATTATCAACTAAACTACATGGCATTCGGATGTTCTTCAAATTAAAAGACTTTGACCACAGGATCCTAAAAGTGAAATTAGCGGAATCGCTATTCCGTTGCTTCAGCCATATCATTTTTTATAAAAGAGCTTAACATATACTTCAATTGATGAACTCCTTGCTGCATCGATGCTTGAGGAAGGAAGAGCGGGATGAGTGCCAACTAAAACTGCTAATGCTAATGGATACAGGATTGTGGGAGAGCAATACAAGCGTCGTGCTGCTAGGTGAAGCAGCACGAATGCTGTACCTTAGATGGTGAAAGTCCAGAAGCCGAAAGCATCATTAGTTTATGCTCTAACTGGATTCTATTTTATCATCAATCAAATCCCCGTTCACATTTTTTCTTTTTCTTATCACCAAATATATTTTTTTACTTATATGACTTAGATGTCTCGTATATCTAGAAACAATGATTCGATTGGTGATGAACAAAGAGAATTCTTAATTCAGTTCTCCGTCTTAATGACAGAAACAAAGATTAATCAAATTCTATTGAATCTGACTCATAGTGATCATTTATCAAAGAAAGACTCTGGTTAATCAAATGATTGAACAACCGGGAGCAATTTACTAATGATACTTAGTTGACATTCATAAAAAGTAACTATGAGAGGGGAAAGCAGATTTTATAATGAACACATTTGGCGCAAGCCAATGCCGCTAATAAAAAGCCTTTTGAAACACGTCCTAACATATACCTACGGAGCAGAAGATAGATCGGTCCTCGTAGAACGTTCAAGACTTGAAATCTGTTGTTCCATATCTATTACTAAACCTCTAGGTGCTCTATCTACGTACAAAACATACGATTAATTCAAATTCGAAAGAATTAATAGAATTCACCGTTGTCTCCATTTCATTCATCACCTTCAACTTGTGTCTCCACCTACTCCAATCCCCAATATTCCAGCCCCCCAAAACATCTTCTCCTCCTCCCGTTAGCAACCTTGCCGCCTTTGATTTTCCAGCACCTTCCCCTCCCCAATGCGGCTCCCTGACTCTGAATTCCCCCCTCCATTGCTTCCTTGGAAGGTGAGGAAATAGGGAAGGGGTAGAGCAGGTGTGTAGGTGTTTTAGAAAGTGGACATATTTCACCCTGACTACCGTAAGAACACTTTTTTCGAAAAAAAGCAGTTTACATATTAGCATGACCTACAATTCAAGTTTAATGCCTTTAGCTGTTTAATATCAGTTGTCACACTTAAACGACAATGCTTCGGGGTAGACATATCCGATTAAGTGTGTGCTTTTGGACATGAATCATGTATTTGATTTGCTTCAAAATTTAAACATCTTATTTTATTACGGAATGCTTGTCATAATAGGTTAAATTGCCTTTATACAAAAAGAAAATTACATACACAATAAAGGTAAGAAATCAAGAAATAAAATTTGCAATAACCAATCTTTTCCAATATGCACCAAAAATACTCCCAAAAGTTTATAATATCAGGATCTTGCTTGAATAGCTTATAATCAAGTTCTACATAACATAACTGAACTATAGGAGCAGTTCTATATGTAGCATTCTATTACGAATCATTAGGAGAAGTTTCGAGGAGTCTAAAATATTGAAGTTGTTCAATACTTAAAGCCAGAGTACAAATGTGTCAATGTGAAATGGTTTTAAAAGACACGATTGAGGCCAGCCTCAAAGTGAGGCTAGTAGAAAATGCCTGAAGGCAGTTTTTCAAGGCGTACGCCTCAGTTGAGTGAGGTACAGACCTCATAGCACACTCAACGCTTGTAAGGTACTGAGGTGTGTGCTCCTTAATTCTCTATACTTATTCACTTTACTTTAGGTGTGTATCCACAAAAAACATAAAAATTCTAGTTGACTCATTTTAGGAGTGGTCCATTACCCTCTAAAACTTTTTTAGAAAAAAAAAATAATTTCTCAAAGACCCACTATGGAAAATACTCCACTACTCACCCACCCCCCACCCCCCAAAACTAAAATAATAGTTTCCTTTTCGTTATTTTATAGATTTTCCTTCTGTTTGTTTGCACTCTTTAAATTGATATATTATGAATTAATTTTTTTGAATTATTATGAGATCATTTGCATTTTAATAATTTTTGACTTTTTTTATTTAACGAAAGGCTTGCAACTCTCGCCTCATGAAGGAAAAATGCCTCAATATTCGATGAAGCCTTTTTAAACATTGATGTGTAACATTCTAGAGCTAGGAAATTGACTATAAATGGAATGACTAATTTTACAGATAAATTGTAGCTTTTCTTTTCTAATTGACAAATGATAATATAATCAAGCCAACTACCTTAATGCAAGCCTTATCCATATAAATCCACAGTCAATACAACAGCTCAAAACAAAGTCAGAAACTGTTTTGACAGCATAGTGAGGGAACCGTGTGAAGAAAATTATTTTCTGTTTCATTAATTTGAACTGGTCAAGTGGAAGTGGAATTAAGAGAATAAATTCTTCAGTGATACTAACAAGTAGGTGGAGATTTTGAAGTCCAAACCATCAGCCAATCAACCACTAAGCGTATATTTAAAGGGTAAGCTAATCTAGATTCTAAGTAACACCATAACTGAGGGAATACATTTTCACTGGCAGCCAGAGGCTTAGGAATCGTTCATAAGTGTATAAACTTATTTTGTCAATTCAACAACAAATAATTTATCCTGAAGGATACCTCAAATGGTAGAAGGGGTCACAACTAAGGAAATTAATTTAACCTAAAGAAGCCAACACCATTGACGTGGTATTGCGTCATTGAAAAGAGGACCACCCCCAAACACAATGCTATTGGCAGACGTCAAACATCAGGAAGCCAAACTTACAGGTTGATGTTACCCAAGTGATTGCAGAAATAGAGTAGAACAAAAGAACATGCACATCAAATGAGCTAGAGACTTTACATCTTTCACGCCAATCACTAAACTCCAACTTGTTAATGGTTAAAAAAGAGCAAATCATCCAACTAGATGTTATATACAACAATAAGAAACTAAACCTTGTTTGGAATAAATTTGGGGTCGGCTTCATAATTCTACTTTTGTCATTCCGTTCTATTTGTTGTTAGATCTACTGGGAGGTCTAAAGCAATTAGAACCTTAGCCTATGATGCTTGGACTCAAGTACGGGTATCGGATATGGGTACGGGTCTAAATGTCCGATCTTCTATTTTCTAAAATGTAAAATATGGAAAAATGGCTAAAAAGAGTCCAAATTTCGGATACGAATACGTGAATATGTCTTTCAAGCTTCAATTTTTCTACTAACTCAAGATGTCATTTTAAATAAGCCAAAATCGATAATCGCAAAGAAGTAAATGAGTACTGAATAGGAGGTTAGAATGAATAAAATAGAATTTTGGGTTTAGTTTTCAATTTATGGGAAGTTAATTACTAAATATCATATAAAATAGAAAATGAGGGACTTGATTGCAATTTGGACTTAATGGAACTAAGAAACACTATATGGAACTCGTTTTCATTTTATACAAACAAAATCCTAAACCACCTATACATAGAGGGAAAGAAAGGAAAAAAAGAGGAAAGGGGAAAGCAAAAAGAAAGAAGAAGGAGAGGGGAAAACCTTGGTCATCGCCCTTCTCCACCATCTCGGAAGCAACGCTAGTTTAATAGAGAGCATAAAGGGAAAAGAAAAGGAAAAGAAAAAAAGAGAGAAGAAAAAGAAAGAAGAAGCAAAAATTGCAAAGTGTCCAATTGAAACTTGGAGGATCCAACATATATCCTATACTCATACCCATGTTATGTCGTGTCCGACACAGGTACTCCGACCATTTCGAAGAGCCCGAGCATTAGAAACCTTAGCAACTACTATAGGCCAAGTTAAGGTTGGTCTATCTTGAGTGATGTCAAAACAGAAGACACTTTCGGCAATTATACTCCTTATTTCCGTAAAGTGCTATTCAATTGTTCTTCAATTTTCATTTGTCCTCATCGAAGTTTACTATTAGGGATGAGTTAGAATAGTAAAAGCGTTTCCTTTCAATCAAGCCTCAAAGCTCAACATCTTCAACCACTCTTAAAAATAGTAAGACATAATTCAACCAAACCAATTATACAAAAGGGATAAAATTGCTTCTTTTCCAGGTTGTTTCTTATTGCTTTATGTTTTATCCAATCTGTTTTCATAACATATATCCTTCAATCAGCTTTCGAAATAGACCTTTCTACCTTGTTTCCCAAAATAAGGACCACAAGTCCAAGAGCAAAACATTGTCAAAGGTTGCACTATCAAAAGAGACCCGAAAGATTTTATATACAAATAAAAATGAATAACGATGGCCAACCACAAGGCTATCTTGAGATATATCCAATAACCCCATGACTAAAATGCAGTTTAAAACAAAAAAAACACAAAACTGAGAATGATATCTATCATTAATTATGAAATTTCATTTCCATACGACTGCATTTTCATTCTCTGCGAGACAAAAAAATTGAATATGTCAATCCTTAGTTCATCAAATGGCCCAAATTCAAACAACCACCCATCTCCATTCTCCCAAACCTCAGGACCACCTCTTTATTTTAAAAGGATAACTTTAATACTTTTCGCACATATACTAAATGACACGTTCAGCATAGTTAATTCAAAATCCAACGTAGCAATCAATCAAGGAAAATATGAAATAAAAAAGCAATAATCTAGCCTCGCAAAAATTTCAATGATTGGACAAATTGCATCAGAAGATTTTCTTTCATATTTTAAAAATTCATTATAAGTTAATATAAGACAAACAGCCAAAGAAATCCAACGTTCAAAATTCAAATAAATAAAGTACTCAAATCAGATTTGGTCTCACAATGCTGAAGTCGTGGTCGTCATCAAGACAGCGACATCGGGCCTCATTTCCACACTGCACTTCATAACAAGAATATCTTCCATTCATTCACCTATTCACAATCACAGTAAATATACATCAAACACCGTCTCAGACAAATTGATCGTAGTAAAACCTAAAAATTACAGAATGAGTTAAAAATACAATTACCTAAAGAGGCAGCACGAAATCAAATACGAGGGCCAGAGGGAAGGCGGAGTGAGGGGTGGCCGAGGTGTTCCCGCCAACAGAGGGGGATGTTCGCTGCCTCCAAATTTACGCCACCGTATGTTAGGTGCAAGTGTATCAACGGCGTTAGAACGTCGATCACCATTCCCTTTATTGACGGCTACTACTACTACTATTATTATTATTATTTATTTATTTATTTTTTATTTGGTGATAGGAAGCCTTGATCTGAAGCAATAGTCTACAAATTATGTTAGCCAAATCGGCCGAGGTGTTCCCGCCAACAGAGGGGGATGTTCGCTGCCTCCAAATTTACGCCACCGTATGTTAGGTGCAAGTGTATCAACGGCGTTAGAACGGGGGTATTATTATAAATGACCTGCTACTATTTATTTTTGATAAAATGTCTATTATACCCTTAATGAAATAATTTATCATATATTGCACAAGATATCCTTAATTTATTGGGATAGTTTTAAATTCCTCTATTTCTCTCATTTCGAGTTTTAATATATAATTTCATCCTTTGATCTAATAAAATTGTCAAAGTCAATTAATATGATTTGTTTATTCCCATAAATATATACTTCTTTCTATTTTTATACAGAGTAAACAAATGTAATTAATATGATTTGTTTATTTTTATTGATAACGATGTATATTAAATACAAGTATATTAGAAAATTTTAAAAAATATATATATATATACTTTCAATAAGTAAAATAACTTATAATTTGAAACAGACGAAAAAGGAAATCAAATATATCTGAATGGAATGAAGGGAGCACATTAATGTGATATTAGGGTGAATATGCTTTCCTGTTTAGAACTAAAAAAAATAAAATAAAATCAATAGCATATTTCATTCCATAACTAACCTAGTTCTCGGTGGAGTGGATTTTTCAAACAATGTGTAGCAATTTCTGATGCACAATTGTGTGAATTTTGATGATTTACACGTTGAAGCGATATAGTTAGAGTTCTAAAAACATAAGGTTTGATTAGGTGATAAGGTCAAATTTTAAGTTTTTACAAGCTTAATGGGCCTCGGTGAAGTCTAGGAGTGTGAAGTCGTAAAGAATGGTCAGGCGGCAAGGGCAAAGACGAAATTTAGATGAGCTTTCAAAATAATAAGAATAGTTTGTGATTAATGGAATTTTGCATATTTTGTTTGTGATATGTTCTATATTATTCTAAAATAGCCTCATATGTACATAATGTGTCATTTGCATAGATTGGATTAGCATGTCTAAGAATATGTACTTTGTAGCTTCTGATTGTCTTTCTTTAAAATAAAATTCTTTAATTTTCATACTTATTTTCAATCACATTTATACAATAAATTATTTTGTATGTAAGTTTACATTTTTTCCAAAAATCCAATATTCAAAATATCATTTTTTTTCTTTCTTTCTTTCAAAATAATGGCATCAAAGGGGGTGTAATTTGTTAAAAAATCATCATAGATAGTCGAAACTCTTGTTTTCACTAAATGTATATTCTCCTTGTACAGGGGAAAACTATACAGGAGGCTTACAGGCGTTGTGTTAACAGTACCTATGTGGTTTCATTTTATTTTATTTTTTGCCAACTTTCAATAAGAAAATGACACACCACCTCTATTAAAATGTGTACGGCTTTACCCGTACGCCAATCACATATCGTATTTTAAAGATAATCAATAATGAGTTTTTCTTCTTGTATAGTCCACGTCGAACTGTACAAGGTATAGCCCCTCATATGTGAGGAGGCTATGAACGGTGCAGTATTCACAACACCGTCCATCAATAATATGTTAAAGAACTAAATGAAAAATACGTGAGAAAGTACAGGAGAATGAGATATGAAAAATATTTCAATGGATACGTATGGAAGATGAGATTTGTGGCATAAATTGAGTGATTGGATGTCTATATATATTCCTACTTGTTTAGTTTGGATGGATTAATGCAAACTATAAAGGGAAATGCTATCTGTATGCCTCGATGTACACTCATCTCATAAGGGGAAATAGAGTGTATGTATAGCAAAATCCAACCAAAATTTGACTTTTATTAATAGTGTCGTTATCGTTCTGTACCAGTAACACCAATTTGTGGATTTTATGAAATTCATTCAATTTAAATAATTACTTTCTGTAAAATAATAACTAATAGTTAAGAATATGTTTGTCCAGCTAAAAATAAGAAAAACTTACTTTTAAGTAGTGTTTTATTTTCATATATATTTAGATATATATTTTTAAGTCTACAATTGTAAACGTAGTTTTTATTATTCTGTCAAAATAATAGTTCACTTATTTTAACTTTTAAAGACCAAAAAATAATTTATTTCAGAATTTCTTTAACACTGGAAATTGATTATCCAATTTGAAGGAACACGGGGGACCATGTTGTTATTATTATTATTATTATTATTATTATTATTATTATTATTATTATTATTATTATTATTATTATTATTTCCCCATTTTGACTTTTATAGATGAGGTGGGCCGTGGAGAGTGTCTTCTAACTCTTAGTAAGGGGGTAAATAAGACAAAATAAATAATTGACATTAAAATATTATTTCATTCTTGATATGTTCTCTGTATTATTATTTTTTTGAAATACATTTTTTAAGTATACCTACCTCATGGGTTTGGCATTATCTCTTACCTTAATATATTCATAAAAATAATGTACAAATTAATGAATGACACATAAGAAATTACAAAGATTAATGTATAAAACCAAGACTAATCAAGTAACAATTGTTTTTTATTTTGCAATTAATTACCTCAAATATTCTGCATGCCACATTTATCGTACATGTAATTGTGTCTTCAACCTCATGCAATCGTAACTAATACTATTTGCAATATGCCTCCAGGGCACATCTCCAAGTGGTAAAAAGGGAGGGTGGAGAAATCCAACTTTGCTTGAGGCTGTCGCGTCAAGAGTTCGAATCCTGAAATATGAATTTGGCTCTTGGGTAAGTGCAAGTGTACAAGCAGCCTTTCACCCTATACTCTTGGAGGCATAACCTGCGATTTACCTCCCTCACGATGCTCCAGGATAGGGGCGGTGGAGGACCCTTAAAGTTGGGGTTCAACCTTTTTTAATACTATTTGCAATATGAAAGTACAAAAAGATGTATCTGTTAAACTTTTGTCGAAAAATAGATTCAATTAACATGTCACGTAATATTTTCAACTTTTATTCAAATTGTTGTATTAACATGCTTAAGCTTTGTGATAATTACATCATGTGATTATATACTTTTATTAAAATTAATAAAATGATAATAAAAATAGGCACCAAAAGCCCAGTAATTTGTACAGTTAATAAATGTCTTGTTAATTTAAGATAGAGAGAAAAATTTCCTAGTAACAAATTTCATGCAGAGCATAAAAGGGTTTTCCCAAGAAAGAAATGGGTATGTGGATTAAGTTATCCTCTTGTCGATTAATGCATTTTTAGGTACTTTTCAAAAGAAGAGTTTTCTCGGAACATTGTCAAATACAAAGAACTTAGAATTTTTTGGTCTTGACCTTATGCACGATAGCTTCACATAACTCTTCGACAACTTGGCTTATAATTGATGCGTGATCAATAGAAGCCTTCCCAAAGAAGAAGAAGATAGTACATGAAGAAGAGGTGGAGTATTGCCAAATCATCATGTTTTTCTTTCTTCTAACGTAGTTCAATAGCTTTCCGGAGATTTGTTTTTATATTTAGAGTTAATGTCATAAAATACAATGAGTTTGTAATTATGTATACTAGTTGTCAACCTATCAACATTTGTACTTTTTTATCCGGACTTAGGACTAACTACGAGAAAATTATAAGCAATGAAAATTGATTCGTGTATTATACTTTAACTTTCTTAAAACTAGACTTATCTCCTATTTTATATAGATTAAAATCTGCTAAAAATTTCAAGTCAAAGTCGATAAATTAATTTTAAGTATACATTTCATGATATCAAAACTTTCTAACCACACAGTTAAATCAATTTCTATCAAAATTTAATTTTACACAAAATAGGGGCTTAATTTGCTTTTACATGTTGGTTGTCCTTAGATTTCTCTATCATTTCTCCCAAAAATTTCAGAAATGAACGTTTTCCATTTTAATAATTATTTAAGGTTTATTTTGAAAAATTCTGACTAATTAAGCACGTATTTGACCTGGTTGCCGTCAGGTGGGTTCCATCTAATGGGACCAACTTCCTTCTTTTTTTTTTGCTTTTTTTTTTTTTTTTTTTAATTTGAAAAAAAAAAAATACTATGAGATGTGAGTCTTCTTGATTAGGACCATAAAAGCATCCAATGTTGAACGGAGATATGTTAAAATAATTAATTAGAGGAGCCAAACAATAATGCGTGTCATTTTTGTTTTTTGGTTTGATAATGTGATAATAAATTCTTATTAATTGAAAAAAAAATAAGAATAATAATTAATATAAGTATTGTAGAATTGTCTCTCTCAATCCTTTTTTAAATCTAGAAACGTATTGACCAAAACTTATCATAAGATTTTAAATTGTTAGGATTATTACACACTAAGATTGTCCACTGTTAAATTATGACACGTAACCTTGTAGTTTCATATCTCTTCCTTCTCAATAAGTGCTATATATAAAATATTGTCACATGAGACGTAGACAAAAATTTCCAAAATTTGATTTTAATTTATTGTATACTATAAATTAATGGGACAATTAAATAACAAAAAAATAACGAGAAATATTAAATTGTTATAATTGTTAGAACTATTATTTGATATCAAATTCAACAATTAATTTTAAACACACATTTAATGAGACCTACAATTTATATCAATGTTTCAACACATTTCATCAAATTTTATCAAAATCTAATTAATTTTTTTCATCATAAGTTTTCTCAAACAACCCCTTAAAAATAGTTGCTTATTAATAAGAAAAACTAGTAATATTCACGAACAAACTGTATAAAACAAAATGATAAATAGTATATTGGATTTTGTTTTGGGATAAAGATGCGGTGTCTGTCATCTTTGAAAGATTGGACAAATCTCCTCTTTTATATATGATTACTGGGATTTCATTTTGTTTCCTCAAATCTAGTTAATAAACCATCCTCAGGTACGACATTTGCTTTCATTGGCCACCCAAAGAATTTAGGTAA